GTACTGTAAAAGCTGGTCACAAGCGGCCCAAGTGGCTTCCGACCGCTTGCCGTATAACCTTTGCAAGGTGAATTACGAGGGCATCGAATGGGATTTTGAACAACTAATGCACCAGCCCAGTGTTACTTCCATTACAACTCGACCCATCATCATGTACTCGGCTCATAGTGAGGTGATCAAAAAAGGAGGTAGATTACACATTTATTACACGAAAGGCTCTCTCTTAGAGTTTGTCTACTGAAGTTGTTACTAGTCCACGACTACTAAAGTCTGTGACGCCTGCTTAATGTAGCAGCATCCACGTATGAGCTATCCTCAACATGACGAGAGTCCTAACTACTGCTGGACAAACTTATCTGCATCGGTGTCGACACAATCAGGATAACATCTGTCGTTTCGGCAGGCAGACGAATGTTGCCTCGATACACGCGCACGACGTCCTTGGCGGCTCGTCGTACCTGAACTGACCCACTCGCTCACAAAGAGTGCATCGCATCGCGTGGAACACGCACTTTAAAGGTCTGGGCTGGAGGACGTTGGTACAGCCTTGCCCATTGGCTCGGGACTTGTGGATCAAGAGAAGGCGTGAGTACGGCGGTACTCACTGTCGAGCTCATCAAGTCTAAGAAGATGGCGAGGCTGGCTTTGCTGCTTGCCGGAGCTCCTGGAACTGGTATAACGGGCGCTGGCGCTAGGCGTTTTGCAAGAGTTAGAGCCAAAAGTACGTTCTGTCCCATGGTAGGGTCGAAAGTTTGCTCATTCGTTTAAAGAAGACGGAGATTTTCATCGAAGTCCTTTGTTGGAGAACTTTCTTAGTGCAATTGGACTTCGGATTAAGGAAAGTAAAGAGATTTATAAGGGCGAGTGACCGAGATGGCGCCAAGAAGTCGGAGAATCCGTTTGACGGGAGAGCAAGTCGTCTCGCACGTTATTGTGGGTCGTAAAACCACTGAAGGCTCCAAACAGCTGAGACTCGACCCAAGTATTTACGAGTCACTACAGAAGAGGAAGTAGCAGTTGAAAGCATCATTTACACTTAAGGTGACAACGGCAGCGTCGAGCGTGATTGTTACTCGATCGCCTGTGCCACCGAGTACGATCTGGAAGAAGAAGAAGGTGTTACGATCCGCAAGGGCGACGTCCTAAAGACAAAAGTGCTCATCTAAAACGCAACGCTTCATGATCTGTACCAGGTCTCGGCAAGGTAAGGTAGGTAGTATACACCCTATGTTTTCCGGTAAAACGGTGAACTTTCGTGGTAGGGGTGCAAGTTAGTCAATGGGTAAGGTGATGGGTAGGTGATGGGTAAGGTGATGGGTAGGTGATGGGTAAGGTGATGGGTAGAGTAATGGCAAGACCGGTCTCATTACCCTATTACCTGGCAGTTACAGGTTTAATAAATGTTCAAGTCTGACATAAGGGCTTCTGTGTGGAACGGGGTGCCTCCGTTACATGATTGTTGACACAAGGTAAAAAGAATTACGAATATTGTAGTGTCCTAGCTAGAAATTTAAAAAGTAATGCTCACTAGATCACTAGTTCACTAACATGTTCTAGTCTAAGCCTGCTGATTTCTGGAGTGATCTCTTTGACTGAATTTATGGTGATGACATCGTATAACGTTAACAAAAATTGACCGTCGTGAGACAGCGTATCGCGCCCTACATCCTCCCCAATATCATTTCGTGTAGACGAATTTAGAACCGTGCACCAGGTCTTGTATTACGGGGCACCCTTTGCTTGGGGCTCCGCGAAACTACACGTACACTCGCACGTGCAGAGGATGTTATAGGGCACTCTTTTTTTGGGGTGCCACGAAATTCACGTACACTCGTACGTGCAGAGGAAGCTAATCTAATCAAACAGCTTGTTTGAGAAGTGGGTGAAAATAGAACTGTATTTTATATCGCTAAGCTATCAATATAACTTCATTCGTGATATAACTACGTTAAACTACGTCGTCGTATGACGACAACCTTCTCACCACTCATTGCGCGCGTCTAGCAGCGATTAGTAGCAATCTATGGTTATTATGATTTTTATCAACTAGTCTTGGATCAGCGCATGAATATTATCAAAAGGGGATAATATTCCATCGATGTTACCCACCTCGAATAAAATTGGTTAAGATATTTTCATGCTAAACAATATCCCTATTGACATTGTTTGGTGTCAATATCATGCATCGGGCTACCCCGTTACATCACCCCCCTCCCCTCAGCCATCAATCACCCGATTGATTAGAATTAATTAGGACAGGGCAACAACCGTTGGATCACTCTGGAAAGGGGAAAACTTGTTGGTCAAAAACCAATTCATTTGCTAATTCATAGCATGGTGTCAAAGTCCATAAGATGTGCTGCCGAAGCAGCACGAAAGGCGGTTGAACGCATGCGTACATCTGATGAGGGTGATTCTCTTACTTCAGCAGCAGGTGATCCTTCGCCTGCCGTTGCGATTCAGCAACAGGCGGTGTCTGTTGTGAACAGTCCGCGTGGCGAGTCACCGCGTGCGAAAGATAGATCTGCTGCGGTTGCAGCGGGTACTGCAAATCGCAATGTGTTTGATTCTGAAATAGAGCTCATCGATTCCAGCGAGTCGGATGATGTATCAGACTCGAAGGCGGCACCTCACGCCTCCCGATCATCCGGGGCGGACATTGCAAGAGCCAGGTTGACTGGTTCTGGTCAACGTGGCGGCACCATACTCGAAATCTTCGGATCGAGCGATTGTTCCGACGAATCCTTGTCTTACGCTACTCAACCCAACGATAGGACGCGTGGTAATGGTGGTGATGCTCTTATGCATCACCACGAGCGAAGTAACTCGAGAGATCGAGGTGTCACTGTTGTCATTGATCACGCTGGCAATCAAGAGGCCCGGAACCGAAATTTCCTGCGCCACGCTCCTCAAGTTGAGTCTCCTTGGATGACGGCATCCAAGGAGTTGGACCGGTTGGCCAGCATGACTACCAATCGAGATCGAATCCCGTTTTTCGATTGCAGGAAGATTTGCCCGCCTGATTCCAGCACGGAAACTTTCCGTGCTGAGGAAGAGTCTTCACCGATGCGATTTTACACATCGGTGGTACAATGGGAATGTGGTCGAGACGGAAAGGCCTTGATGCTAGGATGGAATGCCTTCATCCATAACATCAAGTGCATTAGCCGTGAGGCCTGTCTCGGTAAATTTGATGCAGCTCGCATCAGGTATAAGAAACGCAACCCAGCCGGAATGCGATACAAGTTGCACCGGCTGTCAGTAGAGGCAGGATTACCCTGTATCTCGTGGGGTGATTCGTGTCCAGGTTGCCTGGACAATTCGAACCGTGCTCCTAGGGAGACCTCCCTCCCTAATGTTCTCTACTGGAGGGCGCGCATCTCTTCTGAGATGGCCGAAAAGATCGACACTTTGCAATCCCTGTACGCACGTTCGGGGAGGTCGATTTCCGACGGCCCTTTTTCAAACGCAGCGGGTGGGTCTCGTCGTACTGCTAGACGAGACCCAGGACATCAACAATCATCTGGGCACGAGGCTCCCAGCTGTCCCACGCCGGTGGATAGCCACGCCAGCGGAAGAGGTAACTCGTCTGGACACCATTCACGTCGCGGTGGCTCAAAAAGCGCTCCATTAGAAAGCGTTGACCATCGCTTGAGTCCACCATAGGATGTGGTGGCGGCGGGAATACCTGATCCGGCCCGGGCGTTGGATCAGCTTAAGGTTCAAAAGCTGAGCAGTGTAATGGAACAGTTGCAAGATGACCTGGATCATGAACGGACTCGGCGTTATATACTCCATGATCTTGTAAGGACAATTACACTTTCTTAACGCACAATCGTTCGGCCGATCGTGCCGCGTTTGGGTTCGCGCAACAGAAGAATGAACGTTCGACTCCTTCTCTTCATGACGAGATGACTGCAGCTCGTCGAGACATCGCTCAACTGGGTAAACAGGTCGCTTCGCTAGTCGACCAGACTGGCTCGCTGAACGGGACAACTCGAAGGTGGTCTCGGCTCTCGACCGCGGAGGTATTCTGCGCATTTCGAAACGGGCTCGTACTGATAGTACGGTCGTAAACAACCAACATACAACGTAGGATGCGTACGCATACTACGGGGCAATTAAATTGTGTATGCGTTGCCCATTCGGCGCAACACACGAAATGGACCGATATACTTGGGCACTTAAATACTGCTGCCCACGTTTGTCACTGCGTGTTTCGGTAGGTTTACTGTAGACAGTAAAACTAGGTCTCCTTCATCAGATGAAAGAATATTTGCTCTTCCGTTTTTGTCTGCGTTTCGATTCTGTCCGTCTAGTGCATCTGCAACAGAATCTTGAACGAAGTGGACAACTACTCCGCGAGTCAGCGAAAATTACTCTGCTTATTCATCCTTGTTGACAGCAGTGCGCTTCGCGTGCACTATTGAACGAACGTGTCCTTTACCAGTAAGGGTATTATCGTCCTCACTGTGGCAGTCATTGGCGATGCTGAATAGACCAGCATCGTCGTCATCACCATCATGGATGTCGATCGCATCGACATCGGCATCCATCACGTCGACACCATTGTCGACGGGTGATGAGCAAGAACCGGATCTGTTATTGTTCGAGCGAGTCCCCCCCCCAAAACTAGAGTCACACTCGAAGAAGGCGGGTAAACGTGGTGGCGTAGGCCATTCACGAAGAACGGTGTATGCGTTGTCGACGCATGCACCGAGTTGTTGATCGCAAACAACGCCATCGGCAAGAACTCACTCCAACTCGTAAACGAGTGGACATACCATTGAAGTATCTCATCGAGTACGCGGTTGACGCGTTCTGTCCGACCATCTGTTTCTGGACGGTCAGAAGTCGACATCGTCAAACGTGTTCCAAGTGAACGGAACACGGATTGCCAGAACTCCGCTGTGAAGCGGGGGTCCCTTTTAGACACGAGTTCACGGGGTAACCCGCGGAGTCGAAAGATAGTATCGATGAAGACACGAGTAAAGCTCTAGGATGCGATTGACTCCGGTACAATAACAAGATGTACCATCTTGCTAACCGATAAACACACACGTAAATACCAGTATTCTTGTGAGCTTCTTTGGGAAACCCGAAGACGAAGTCCATCGATACGGACTGCCAGCACTCTGCCGGAATCGGTACAGGCTGCAAGGCCTGGATTGCAAGGCACTGGCGGGACCAGTAGAAGTCACGACTCACCGTGAGGTAACTATTTTCTCTACCGCGATGTTTATTTGCTGGGGCATCGCGACACTCGTACATGATGCGCAATCGCAAGTCGTTTTGAGCCGGAACGACGACACGAGGTGTGTCGCCGTTGACTGCTGTGTAGTACAGCAGCCCATCACGGACAGAATACCGTTCGGTTGAAGAGCAGTATTGAGACGAAAAGCTTATCAAAGCTTGACAGCACGAATTGTCTACGTAATCCATCAACCGCAGAAGAGGTTCTTTTTCTGTGTTTGCTTTTCGCACGTCATCGAGCAGATTCGACGACGGAACACTCACTGTTAGTGTCGCGACTGTGGAATCACCCCTACTGTAGAGTTGAGCAGTCGCCTCGAAATCAGGACGACGCGAAAGAGCATCAGCAACGATATTAAGTCGTCCTAATTTATACTCGACGGAGAATTAGTACTCCGCGAAGAAAGACAGCCACCTCGCCATTAGTTGCGAGAGGTGTGGACTATTTACGGCCGTGCGTAGAGACGCATGGTCGGTACAAACGATAAAGGGCCTATCTCCTAAGACATGTACCCGAAACTTGGCCAGTGCATATTTCATGGAAAGGAGTTTCTTTTCATGCACCGGGTAATTTTGCTCAGCTGCTTGCAGCTGACGCGATTGATAACAGACGACGCGCTCAACGCCGTCTGAGTCGTACCGCATTAACGCGCAGCCGATCGCAAAGTGCTGGCATCACAGACCACATGAAATGGCCTATCCTGATCTGCAATTGCCAACACAGGCGATTGTATCAAGCTTTTCTTGATACTTTTGGAAGAGTGCTGACACTCAGCGCTCCATGACCATTTCACTAAAAAAAATTTAAAAAACGAGAGAGATGTACATTCATCTCGGCATAGTTGCGCGAGTACTCGTGCAAGTACGCCGCCAAGCCAAGGAACTTTCGAAGTCCCTTGACTTCGACTGGAACAGGCCAGTCGCTAATCGCCTTGATCTTTTCCGAAACAGAGCGTGCACCGTTTTTACCCATGATGCAGTTTAGAAGTGGTATTTCGTTTAATGCGAATACACACTTCTTGAGGTTCGCAAACAGCTTATGCTCTCGCATTAGCGTAAGAACCTTCCGGAAGTAGATTCTATGAACCTCCACGTCCTTCTTTCCATCCATAGCCCGGCTATGGACGTAGCCAACGTCAAAGTTACTCGGTGCGAAGTCGCGCACCGATCGCAAAAGATACTTAAAACATCTGCTACACGTTGCGGGAGCGTTACTTAGCCCCTGTGGCATTACTAGCCACTCCCAGAACATGCCGCTAGGCGTGCTAACTGCGGTATAGGGTATATCCCGTTCTCGCATAAGGATTTGATAGAAGCCATCCATCAAATCCATGGACGAAAAGATGGTACTCTTTGACGTACCATCAATGATTACGTCCCTCCTTGGTATCGACATCTGGGCCGGTACCGTTGCAGCATTCAACTTGTTAAATGCATGCACAATCCGCCACCCTCCTGTTGCTTTTCGCACACAGAAGGTCGGAGAGCTATGTGGGGAAGTTGATTCCCTCACATGGCCCGCAGTTAAACGATCGGCAAAGAACTTGTCGATCGCAAGTACTTGTTCACGAGGCAGTGGCCACTGCTTCATGACACAGTACTTCGAGCCTGGTTTAAGCTCGACCTCGTGTCGAATACCTTTATCCTTCGGTAATTCGCACGGAACAGTTTCAGGGAATGCATCCTTGAATTCAACCAAATCTTCATACAAAGGATTTGTCTTCGAAGACTCCTAAAATTGAAACGTGTTTCGCTCAATCCGAGTCTTTTCATCGAGACACTGTCGTCCATCGTTAAGCTACTGAGAACCCGTTCGTTCTCAGCAAACACTTATGCCGACCGAACATCGTCGACGTACTCGTCCTCTATGGCGATTACGCAGATCTGCTTGATCTTGTCACTACGCAGATCTGGCAAGAATCTCTTACATTCTAGAGTTAACAACTTGACTACCTCCGAAGCTGACTTCGGGGGTGCTACCAGATCAAGTGCATAAGCGCCTACACCTGATCCGTCATTCATTAAGCCATTCACCGTCTCGGTAATATCTAGGAAAACACATCCGCAGTTGGTTGGGGATCCGCACCCTCAACATAACTCTCTCGTGAGTTATCACTATCAGGAACGCTAGAAAAATTCTTCCAATGCGTGTACTGAATGTGGGTGCAATACCAGAGTCACGTCCTCTTCGATCGAAACTCTTTTAGTCGATCGGGCTTGCAGTACAATCGATTCTCTGTTAGTCGATTTTGCTTTAATGTGTTGTTCATCCTGAAAAAAACTAATTTCTTTTTCGGATGCACCCTTCTTGGTGTGCATCCGTGTTCCAGTCCACTCGATCTCTTCGAGTGGTGAACTTTCGGCGCAGCCTGTGTCTCTACACAGGTACCGGAAGCCGGTTCCACAGTGCAGTGGCCTTCTACACTGTGATCTTGTGCAATTGTACTAACGACCTTACCACAATTGAGGCCATCGCACTCACTCGTAGTACATCCACACGCCTGTGGACGCTCCAAGACGCTCATTATATGGCCATCTGATGAACAAAACGGCAGGCAACTTCACGGATAGATGCTGCCAGCCAACCCATTGCCGGTACTTTCTAAGCCATGGCAGACCAAGGATGACATCAAATTTGGCATCCAAGTCTGATACGAGAAAGTCATCATCGTATGGTTTTCCTTCTAGCGTGTAGTAAATTCCCACTACACGCTTGCTCACTGTTATGGATGCGCCTGTAGCAAGGCACACCGTTATCCTCGTTGGAGGGAACTCTTGCTCAACATAGTTGAGCCTATATTCCCTTAGCGACTGGCGTCGAATAAAAGTGTTTGACGCCCCACAGTCAACTAGGGCGCGAAGTGACATACCACTTGTCACTTCGATCTTAAAAGTGATGAGTGAAACCTCATCACTAGGGGCAGTAACACACAGCGACTGTGTGTTGGGAGCAATCTTCGTCAAGAGTCCTGCAAATTTTCTTGACGTTGCTGGATCAGCAGGGTGCTCCGCCCCTACTGACCCTATCCGTTTTTTTTACGGTCCGACTTGCTGTCGCGGCTTAAAGACATGGTCGGCCCGCGCCTCGGACTCTTCCTTGGCCAACGGCGGTCATCACGTCCTGTTTTCGGACGTGTCGCAGTGCTCGGGACACTACACTCATGAGCGTAGTGCCCAATCTTCTAGCAGCGATGTCATCTTGCCGTTCGCTTGTGACTCAGAGAGCGAAAGTTCTCGCTCTCGACGTAACAGAGGTCCACTGGTTCGGGACGTCCTGTTTCCTGTTGCCTCGTCGGACGATAACTTGACGAGTTAGCCTGAGACTTTCTTAGGCTGAAGTCTTCCTGTTCCGCATACGCTATCGCCTTTTCCAGCGTATGGAAGTCCTCTAGGAATATGTAGGTCTTGACCGA